TAATATGTATTATTTTTTTTTATAAATACATTTATTTCAGTGGTGCTGAAAAATGAATGTGCATTTTGCACTGTTGGTTCTGACAGAATGTATGCATCAGCAATATGCATCAAAATAATTTTTTTTTCTCTAAATCAAAGTATAAACGTATGGATAAGATCAATTAGAAGCCACCTTTAGCATTATGTTGAGCTCTGTGTCAATGCAGTTAGGTGAAGAGATCTTCAAGGCTTACAACGTGAGAGGCCCGGAAAAAGAATGAGAGCCTCTGCTGCAGAGCATGGAACCAACAACCTGAATAGTCAGCAGAAATGTTTTCTGTCTGCCTGTCACCGTAAAGACTAAGGTAGGGCAGAGGTGAGATACATTCTGGAGCCAACATTGCATAACTGCAGATTGGAATCAGGTCAACCACCACTTGTTGTTAGAGATAGTTCTGAGTGACAACACAAAGGAGGAAATGAGGCACAGACATATTTATAGGTGAGTAAGGAATTTGAGGTGTCTATATAGCCAGACATTTTATTCTTAGCTATAGATAGTGTACAGGAGATAAGAACAAAATGGGAATTTATTTATTTAATTTAATAAATTAATTCTTCACTGTCTTTGTACCGTTGGGGACATTTTGAGAGAGACGCAGTAGGAAGTGACAGAAAATATCGGTGTGAGTAAAAAAAAAAAAAAAGTGTGGTGTGCAATATAGTGAAATGGAAAGTGTAAAATTATACAGCGATCAATGCAGAATGACACCGGCTATAGAGGACTACAAATCCCAGCAATAGTACATTATACAGCGCAATGCAGAATACCACCAGCTATAGAGGAGTACAGCAAATCCCAGCAATAGCTGGCAGTATTCCGCATTGCGCTGTATAATGTATTATTGCTGGGATTTGTTGTACTCCTCTATAGCTGGTGGAATTCCGCATTGCGCTGTATAATTTACTATTGCTGGACTTTGTATAGAGGACTTTGTAGTCCTCTATACAGCGCAATGCAGAATACCACCAGCTATAGAGGAGTACAACAAATCCCAGCAATACATTATACATACAGAAAAATGATCAGTCAATGAAATTAAATTCTAAAGAGGTCAGCCAATCACCCATCATCTATGGGGAAAAACATGAAGGGAACGACGATTGTCTGCATTTTTGGGGTTCAAAACTAAACTGTTTGCAACCCCAAAAAGGCAGACAATCCACATTCCCTTCAGAAAAGGAAACTTGGATACAAAAATATGTACAGAGGAAAATGGATTTTAACTCTGGATTAAAAATATGGGAATGGTGTAAATGAAGGATTAACCTACCTCCCATTTGTCTAACCTTAATAAGGTATAAAGTATGCATTGAGACCACCTCTGTCTCCCAGGTGAAACAGTGAACATTACCCAGCATTCTCTTCATAAGGGCTGTGCACAGGTGCATAACCACTCGGTCCTGGTCTTTACTAAAGTCCAGACCCAGGAATGGAGATTCCATCCCTCCCAATGCTCTTTGAAATCTCCCAGTTCCAGTAACCAAAGCCAAATCCAGAAAAACCTGGGAAGAGCTGCATAGCCAGTTCTTTCCCAGTAAAGGTTTGCGCTTTCTGGAACTGCTCAGCTGAGCGTTCTAAAAAGGAATGTCAAAATACATTACATTGCACAAAGATTGTTGAAAAACCCAGAAAGAAAGAAAACAATTATATATATATATAAAAGTAAAATATTTGCAGTGTATACACACTAGACATGTGCACTGCCAAAAAATTTGTTTCGTTTCATTTCGTTCTGATTCGGATTTTGTGTTATTTCGTGTTTCAGGATTCGGGTGTGAAAGTCAATTCGGATTCGAAATTCGGATGAAATTCGTTGGCGGTAGTTTGTTCGGACGTTTGTTTCGTTCATTTGTTTGTTTGCAGCAAAGTGACATTTGAGGGGGAAAATTTTTTTTTCTCCTTCTCTGTCACTTTGCTCCAACGAACGAAACGAAACGAATAAGAAACGAAAACGAAACTAACGTTCGAACAAACTACCTCCAACGAATTTCGTAAACGGAAATTCGGATTCGTTTGCATTCGTTATATCTGTAATTCGGAATTCGGATACATCCAAATGTCCGAAAATTCGTCCGAATTTCAATTCGGAACGAAACGAATCGCACATGTCTAATACACACCAAGTAAGCAACTCTTAATGTATTTATTGTTAAAGTAGAGTAGGAGTTTACAACACAGAGATTTCTACATTTAGTGTGCAGCGTTTTTATATACTCTATACAGCCAAAGGTTTGTAGACACCTAACCATCACAACTTTATGAACTATATGACATTCTATTTTAAAAACATGCCCATTAATATGGAGTTAGCCTCCTCTGGGAATCTATAACTGACCCTGCTCTTCTGCAAATGTTTATCCAGAAGATTAGGGAGTTTGTCTGTTGGATTTGTACCCAATCAGCCAAAAGTGCATTTGTGAAGTCCGTTAATGATGGTGGACTAGAAGACCTGGCTCGTAATCTTCCAATTTATCCCAAGGGTGTTCCTTAGGGTTTTCGTCAGGACATTCCAGTTCCTCCACACCAAACTCCTCCTGCAATGTATTTATGGAGCTGGCTTTGTACACGGGGGCACAGCCATGCTAGAACATTAAAGGGTCTGCACCGGACTGTTACCACAAAGTGCACAATTGTCTTAAATGTCTTTATATGCTGCATTATACCCTCCTTTGGAAATACCTGCACTTAATCATTTAAGGGTGTTGGCATACTTTTCGCTCACATAGTCGGTGTGATGGCCTGGTAACCACAATTATTTGTCCATATAATATACTTGCAAATGTACATAAATGCACAGAAAATATAATACCTGAGGGAATGAAAATAAATATATTTTACAATAAAATGTTATGCAAAGACAAATACTAGTACTAAAGTTAAACCTGAAAACCATTCTGACAATAGTGTCCTCTTAATGTTACCCTATCTTCTGTACACTGGCCATAGTCTCAGGCTTAGCTTACTTAACGGGTCAGAAGGATTATGTAACTGTAATAGGGAAAAGGTGAGACACTCACTGGAGGAAAGGTAGAATCAGAGGAAACAAAATAAAGTGAGTCTGAGCCATGCTTGTGGACAAAAGGTGAAGCATGGAGATAACAGATTACATAGTACTCTGGAATGTGTGGACCTGTTTCCTGTTACAATATAAACATACAGTAGGTAGCATATCTTACAGGACCTGTCATGAAGTGTTGTTTTTTTTAGTTTTTTTCAAGAAACTCATGTTTTTTCTTTTTATATCTTAAAGTGGACCCTAAATAAAAATGTGAGGTCCTTTTATTCTTCACACCCTAAAACTCTCCCATGTAAAAAGGTGCATTAAACACACACAACAAAATTAATTAAAAACAATTTTAGTGTATACTCCAGATTCTGACCATTGCTTCCAAGTGGGGGTGATGTTGACAATCTTCTGGGAGGACCAAAAACATTGCAAGAGGACACTGCTGCACTTCACCTTCTTTTTGGGACATACTGTACAAGCTTCAGTATGTTAACAAAAAGCTCCTACAAAGGACCAGAAATATATCTAATTATATCTATCAAGCATGAATGATGTACCCCAGCTGCCCAAAGCCTCCTATGTTACTCATGTCACACATCCCAGGAGGCTTTTTGGGCAATCCACAGCACCTGCACTTACACCATCAGGAAGCCAACTACAAGAAGATGCTAGAGACAGCCAGCTCTTAAAGACGTTAGCAAAGAAAGTGGCAAGCCAGGGACCTGGTTCCCAGCAGAGTGGTAGATTACAACAGGCACATACTGGATTCAATGGATGTGTGAGTATTGTCAGAGCACAATGAAAACGAGACGAGCAAAAGGTGATAGTTAAAATATTTATTAAGAACAGTGTCCACAGGAGCAAGCAGAGTCTTAAACCAGAACAAGCCACAGTCAGGAGCCGAGGTCAGGTGGGTAGTCGTCTAGGCCAGGTCAGCCAGAGTGGGTAGTCATCCAAGCCAGGTCAGGAACACAGAGATCACCGTCGTCAGGAACAAGCCAGGAGGAAGAGCCAGAGGAGACCGTCAGCCAGGAGGAAGAGCCAGAGGAGACCGTCAGCCAGGAGGAAGAGCCAGAGGAGACCGTCAGCCAGGAGGAAGAGCCAGAGGAGACCGTCAGCCAGGATCAGGTCATACTCAGGCTACTAGCACAGCAGGAAAGCACTAGCAGGAAGACCACGCAAGGTCAGACTGGACTGAATGGTTTATATATAGTGAGTGGTGTGACATCATCACTCAGAGACAGGAAACTCCCATCTGACTCACTCAGATGATGCTCTCCTGTCTGGCCATAAGAGGGGGCCTGGGAGTAGTGAGCAACGTTCCAGACTCTGCTCAAGCAAAGAAGAAAACAGGTGAGTAAAATGGAAGCCAAGCCAGAATGCTGCAAACCAGTAAAGTCAGGGTGAAACCCTGACAAGTATATATTTACAGGATTACTCAAATAACAAGATAAGAGGATTAAAAAATAATGTTAAAGCATTATTTTTACCATTAATAAATATTTTATTAATAACATAACAATAATAATAAGACTTATTATTATTAGTGTAATTCATAATTATCATTATGAATAATCCCCCAGGATCATAAATATTATACCATGTGTTTACTCTCCATGCAACCATGCTTATTAAATAACTGACCTAAGCAGATTTGCATTTTAATTCCATTGCAGCATTGTTCATACCAGGCTTGTTTTGCTAACCCAACCAACCCTTGGAATGCACCTATTGCTTTTAACAACAAATTCAAACTGGAAATCAGAATAACCTATGAGTAGAGAATATCTTCTGCATAGTTCAAGCTAGTTCATATGCTTTAGTCATTGCAGGGCGGAGCAATGGATACACACTTGGAAAGTATTCAAGGCCATTATCTGAACAAAGTTAAAATATTCCCCAGATAGTTAGTGCAGGTGATTCAATAAAGGAACACAGGAGAGAAAAGAACAGTTCAGATAGGAAATCGTCTACAGGAAGATACAGTAAGTTCTTCTTACTCCACAAATTGTATGCAATTCTGATAGTATAAAGGTGTTAAGGGACATGTGTATTCTCCGTGAGCATTTACTTTGAGGTATTCTCGTAACTTTTTTTCATGTGTCACAAATTTTGCCAATCCAAGTTAAGCATATGAAATATGGGCAGGTCACTATCTGCAAGGAGTTGGCATGGTCTCTCTGTGTATGTGTGGGTTTCTCCCGGGTACTCTGGTTTCCTTCCACACTCCAAAGACATGCTAGTAGGTTTACTAGCTCCTGTCTGAATTGGCCCTGTATGTATTGTGACATAAGGAAAGGGAAAGTAATCGAGGGGCGATATATTTCCCCTCGCTTTCTGTCCTATGGACTAGCGAAACCCAGACCGGGTTTTCGGCCTGACTTTCGTATGAATAATCCAGCTCGGGTTTTGTGTCTCTCACCTGGATTGTTAATTGCTTAATAAATGATTATCCCGGTGAGATAAAAGCGCAAGGCTGAAGCATGATGTTGCTCTGGCTGAGACAGCATTCTGAGAGAGCTACAAGGTGGATGTTTGTAAGTAAAAGGTTGCTTAAAGTACTTTTGTTTTGTGAGGTGGCTGAGATAAGCTCACCACTTGGTAGAGAGGAAACCGGCCTGTTTAGTCAAAGCCTGGATGGCAAGGATTTATTTTCTTTTTTCTTTTGTTTTATTGCAACCTTTTAAATAAAAACTGACTGCTAGTCAGATTGAAAAAGAACTTTGCTGCCTGGACTACCTTTTTCCCAGGGAAGGTGATCCCCATTTGAGCTATACCCCCACAGTATGCATGTGAGATAAGGACCTTAGATTAGATATGCACAGATACCAAGTACTGCACTTGGTACCGGTACAGATACTACAGAAGACTAGACTAGAGAAACATTTTGAAAGTTTGGAGGCAGCTGTAATTTTTAGGGAGCATTGGCTATGGCAGGGGTGCCAATTAGGTAGATTCTGATCTACCAGTCGATCGCAAAGCGAACACTGGTAGATTGTGATCTGTTCACTGACCTGAGCTCCCTCCCATGGTGCTACTGCAGCTGAATGTGTCAGACACTGCATACAGAAAGGGGTGGGACACCTCTGCCTGTGTGCAACGTCGGCCACATTCGGCCACACGAGCACCGCAGGAGGACAGGATGGTACACATGAGAGAAGAGCTGGGAAGCTGCTGCCGTGCAATTAAGGAAAGACGAGACAGAGAAAGAAGACAGCCGAGAGAGGCTGTGTTCCAGAGGGTTCACACCAAAAAAGCTGTGTTCCAGAGGGTTCGGACTCTGGAATGCAAGCAGTCTGGCTCCCTGCGTCTGGGAGGGGGTGAGGCGGTGCATTAAAATCAATGGCACTGCAGCCTCATCCTCCGCCTGCAGTGTGATCGAATGCAGTTACATTAGTGCCTGCGTTCCGGTCCTGTGCAATCTGCAAAAATAGTGCTTGCAGCCTTTTTGCAGATTGCACTGGACCGGAACGCAGGCACTAATGTGCCTGCCTTCCGGGTGCCGGCGATCGCACTGCAGGTGGGGGCGTGGCTGCGGTGCCTTTGACTTCAATGCACCACCATGCCCCCTCTCGCCCCTGAACGCATGAAGCCGCCTGGCTTGCATTCCAGAGGCTGAACGCTCTGGAACGCAGACTTTGTGGTGTGAGCCGGACCACCGAGAGATAGATACAGAGGAGAGAGAGTGTGAGAGAGAGGTAGTAGTCCTTGTATTAATTTTAATGTGCTTGTTTTTTAAATAAAGGTGTTTTTTCGTTGGTAGATCTCATTGAGCTCATCATTCGAAAAGTAGATCTCCAGACAAAAAATTGTGGGCACCCCTGGGCTACGGGGATCCTGGGAGATGTGCATCTCTTTTAATGTATGATTTGTTAGTTAAATATATACAAATTAGGGATGCACTGATGCCATTTTTTACAGACCAAATACAAGTACTTGTCCAAGTACTCGCTAATACCAATTACCGATATATTTTTCTTTAGTGTCATGTGACAGTTTTTCCAAAACAATACAGACTAATGATTTCAGGACAGTGGTGGAGTGCCAGAGCCCGGTCCCAGTTCCAGCCACTGCAACCCTAGTAGTTCAGTTGAAAATGCCAAGTATCAGCACTGAACATCCCTACCTTAGATTGTACGTTCCTTGGGGGCAGGGACTGATGTGAATATGTAAAATGCTGCGTAAATAGTCGGAGCTATATAAATACCTTAAATAAATAAAATATGATGAAAAATTAAAGTTACAAAATTAATATAATTAATCCTTCTATGTCGGATGAGATCAGATTCCTCTAATCAAGGGGAGTGTGTGTGGGGGAGGATTCATTGTGGAATTCAAGTGCATTGTGACTAGGGATGAGCTTCGCGTTCGAGTCGAACCTATGTTCGACTCGAAACTAATGGCTACTATCTTGCCTATTGATGTTGGACGTCATCAGAGGCAAGTTTAAATGAGCAAGGTTCCTTATTCATTATTCCAAGCCGTGCATCCAAAAACATGAACTGATTCTGGTAGTGTTTCACTTGTCGTAACCAAGTTCATGTTTCTGTGGTTCTCCGTTAAAGGAAACCTCTTACCAATTGAAGGGCACTTGAACTTGCAACTGTTCAAAGACTAGATAACCTAATATTTCTTGTGTACAACATGTGTACAATTAAGAAATAAACGGGGGGCTCTAAGAAGAACCTAAAAGCGCCACATCCCTTTTATAATTTTCACTTCACTTTGTGTAATCCTAATTGCATTTTGAATGTCCCTTTTATGTGGTATGTTTTGGATTCCTTACACAATTGAACCCGATCGATCACAAATCAAACAGATTTCACCCATGAATTAATTTTACAGCTTGCTATTTCAAGAAGTGCTTAATATTTATTTTCATTGTTAACTACCCACAATTCCTTTGTTCTTCCTCTGCAGATATATTACGGGACAATGTTGACAGTTGACCCTGTGACGATCCTTCTGTCCATTGTTGTGATCCTCTTCTTGGCCTATGTATACGGCAGCAGAAAGGAAGACAAGTACAAGAACTTCCCCCCCGGACCCAAACCATTGCCAATTATCGGAAATGTGTTCAGTATTGACATGCAAAAACCTCATAAGACGTTTATAGAGGTAACACATTGCTTGTCCTATGAGCCATACCTGGAACTTCAGTCGAAATGTTATCTTAGTTTTTGGACAGAGCTGTAAAGTTTGTTTGTGTCTTCTATGTCAAAAATGTTTTGGTTGGAGTTGGACTTCAGTGCCTTGTGGCTTTAACCACTTCAAGACCAGGTGTTTAGACTCCCTTCCTTGCCAGGCCATTTTTCAGAGGTTAATTATCAACTCCAGGAGTGTTAAAGTATAAGACATCTGCATACTAAGGGGGTTATTCACTAAAGACCCGAAGGATCCAGCTGTAACTTCGGCTGATCCTTCGGCTCGCTTCAGCCGTCTCTGCCCTGCGTTTTAGTAGAACTGAAGGGCTGCTGTATGGGCTATTCACAATGCTTTGGTTGTGATGTCACGGCTGGCTCCGCCCGGTTGTAATGACAGATCAGTGTCCTCAAATGACCCGGGGACGCTGATCTGTCAATAAACAATAACAGGGCAGAGCCGGCCGTGACATCGCGACCGGCTCTGTCCAGTTGTTGTTCACTGCCCGGGACCTGCTAGAAGACTCTGGCAGGTGTTGGCCAATAGGAAACAGCTGGGCAGAGCTAGCTGTCACCACTAGCTCCGCCCAATTGTTTTTCTTCTGCCGGCATCTGTCAGATGCTTCATTATGCGGCTGGAGTTCGTTGCATGAGGCCATAGCCTTACAGATCCAGAGTTGGTGACTAGTAAGTACACTGCACAACCGTAGCATCACTGACAAGGCAGCAGCAACATCCTCATGGCTCATTGAAAATGGTGGGTAGGGCAGCAAGTTGGAACCATTCATTGTTGGCAGCCAGGGATATGTTCTGTTGTACAACATGATGTGCAAGCAGCTGGGTGCCACCTATTGGATTTCCTAGCTTATGAAGAAATCATGGTACTTTCAAATCCAGGCTTGTCTGCATTTACTATAGCCTGTAATTAAATATAACATTGTTTGAAGGGAGTAGGCTGGCAGAAAGGAAGTCACTCCTTCAATCTCGATGGCTCGCCCTTAGGCAAGCTTGCCATCACTCCTTGTTGCAGAAATGTCCCTGCTTCTCCACTACTTAGCTGGAAACGCAAAGGAATGTTTCATGCAAACTGTTTTAAAAGGGTATCTAAACCCAAGAGCAAAAGTATAATGTATTGCAGCTTACCAGTCCTTGATGTGGTGGCTGCATTAGTTGTTTTCCCTTTATTTCCACTTGTTGACCATGCTAGTGACACAATTTTCTGTCCTAGAGTGACAACGTTCACTCACTGTACTGTATCTATGAGAAAGCAGCATTGTCCACACTAGGACAGGAAGTGCACTACAACTACAGAACACCTCACCCTCTCCTCATCTCCAGAACATAGGGGAGAGGGGTTCTGTGGCTCATAGAGGTGAACAGGGTAGGGCTGATAACACTGCTTGAGATAAAGCTGTAGAGTTCAGGGGACTTGATTTATGTTGGGGATCAACACAGGTTTCTTTTTTTTTGGGGGGGGGGGGGGGGGGTTTTTACCAAAACACTTTCAATGGTACATTTAAGAGCGAAACAGAAGTTCATTGTTAGGGTTTACATTCACTTAAGGAGGTTCTCCCACATTTCTTTTTAGGAAAGGTTTTGAACCTCTATAGGGCTTTTACTGATATCTGTGCCCCCAATAGGAACATCTACCTTAAATTCCTATGAGATACGCTGAACAGGAAATGAACAAACATTTCAATGGATACATGGAAATAAAAACACACAGAACATGTATAGTGTTGGTGCTTCAGTCAGGTTTTTATAATTTATCTGTGTCCAGGTCGGATTGATTACCCTTCTTATGTGGTTGATTGTAATGGGACACCAGCAACATTAACAATGTTACAGGGGCTTTCTACCTTTCATACAAGGGGAGGCCAATAAGTTCTTACCCTTCCCATGATCCAGATGTGTTAGGGATCTAAAATTTAGTCCACTGACTCCTCTACATATCCACCTCCTATGGTTACACACTTTTCACATCTGTGGAACAGACCTTTAATACCATTTGCGTAGAGGTATGCAGATTTGGAGGAAAAACAGCTATCAATATCAGTAATGACTGCCTCATCATTGTGGAAACGTCTTCCCCATAAATGTTTCTTCAGATTTGGAAACAGGAAGAAGTCCAAAGGTGTCAGGTGAGTAAGGTGGATGGGGCAGAGATTCATAGCCACAATCGTGAACAAAAGTGAAAGTTTCTGCAGCTCGAATATTTGGGCAGATTTCCCTTGAAGATGGAGGAACCTAATCACGGCTCGGTATTCAACTTTGCCCGGCATGACACCTACTCCATTTCTCTTGGCTCTAACTATAATTCACCCCGATCTACAAAAGCAAAAATTGGCATGCATATTACTAAGATATCCACCTATAAACCTGCACAATGTCAGATCCCTAGCACATGTAGATCATGGTGAGGGTAAGACCTTATTGGCCTCCCCTCGTACTGTATTCAACATAAGGAAAAACTTGGCTGTAGCTCAATTTAAAAATATCAATTTGTATCACTTAAAGTACAACTAACGCCCTGTATCAAAGTCTAAACAGCACCAAATACAGTTACTATGTGATGTACAAGCCTCATAAAGTAATCAACAAGTGTCTTTATCTCCCAAGCCCAATCCTCTATTTGTATCCCACACGTCCTCCTTCCAGACACTGCAGCTCACAGTGGGAGGGTTTCAGCAACAGAGGCAAAAATGTCAATTTAGAAAGGAGTGGGCAGGATTAGGTGTGGCCAGGTGCTGATTGACAAGCTACAGGATGGTGAATCAGCAGGGACAATGCTGATAGTCATGCCCCCTGTATCATCTTCTCATCCCACTGCAGTGTAAGCAGGCACAGCCTACACGAGGGTGGCAACTCTGCTCTGAATTATTACTTGAATTCTTTTTTCCCATTGCATTCACAGCTGTCCAAGACTTATGGTCCAGTAATAGGTGTCCAAATAGGGATGGAGAAGATGGTTGTCCTCTGCGGATATGACACTGTGAAAGATGCTCTAATCAACCACGCCGAGGAATTTTCAGACAGGCCAAGGCAGCCAATTTTTAATAAAACCATACGGGAAAATGGTAAGTTTTCATCTGTTCATTGAAGTAGAGTCAAAGCATATTGTTTAAAGGAGCCTTTTCCTTATGTTTTTACCCAGGCGGAACTCTTGATAACATTTTGAGTTCTCCGAAAACACTTGCTAAAAAATGATTATCTAAAGTCCATGGTACATTAGAGTGGTCAGTAGGAGATACCCATTACATTGGTGTTCAATGGGAAAATGATCCCTTATATTGGTGGTCAGTGGAAAAGCACCTCATTTATTGGTGGGCATTGGTAAAATTGCCACATAACATTGGTGGTCAGTGAAAATGTGCTACCTTGCATTCATTTTTAGTGGGAGAAGGGCCACTACATTGGTGGTCATAGGGAGGAGGGCCTCTTATATTGGGGATCAGTGAGAGAAGGGCCCCGATCATTTGTGGTGAGTCAGAGATGGGCCCTCTTGCACTGGAAGTTAGTGGGAGAAGGACACCCTTGTATTGGTAGTCAGAGTAGGGTCCCTTACAATAGAAAAAATGCCCCCTATCCCACTTGGTGATCAGTGGGAAGAAAGCTCTTTACTTTGGTAATAAGTGGGAGGAATGCCCTTTACCTAAGTAGTCAGTGGGAGGAATGCTCCTTGCAGACAGCTAAACATATCATTAGTGTCAGAGGTTACTTAGAGAAACAAGAGGAGACACCCCACTAGTTCCATGACACTTGTTCTGCCGAGTGACGTCTGTGTCAGAACTATACAAACACCATGAGATGAAAGATCAATCCAGCACTGCACTACTCAAGAAGCCCCTAATTGTCTCTAAAGGGGAGCTATGGCTCCTCAGGCCCCTTATTGAGAAATAATGGTCCAGAAATTATGAGCATTTAAACAAATCAGTATGAAAATATTAACTGGCTTTTAATCCTACGAATTAAATTCTCCTTTTGAATAAACAATTTTGAGAAGATGAAGAATACAACATTCTGTATATGTGCAAAGTGAACACATACATCACCTGTGTATAAGTTCCTGTGTTCTGTGTTTTAGGAGTTGTCTTTTCCAATGGAGAGAACTGGAAGGTGATGAGAAGATTTGCACTTTCCACACTTCGGGATTATGGGATGGGGAAAAGATCGATAGAAGACAAGATCAGTGAGGAAGCTGAATGCTTGGTACGGGTTTTCCAATCACATGGAGGTGAGTATGTACAATGTCTACTCTGTCTAAACATGATGGTGGCAACATTTTTATCAATTGCCTGTAAAATAAAAAGATGAGCTTTTAATATGTAGGACAAATCAACAGGTTTACGTTAGCGTAGTTTTCCTCCGCAGCAAATACTTCCCTTCCATTTGGGTCTCCTGCCACTGTGCTCAGATAATAGGAGCAAAGGGAATTCTTGAGCAAACTATAAGTCATAGTTACATAGTATTTGAGGTTGAATAAAGACATATGTCCATCAAGTCCAAGTGTGTGTGTGTGTGTGTGTGTGTGTGTGTGTGTGTCCTTCATTCATCTTGTTCTTAGGAGTACCTGTGCCCCTGTATATTACCGTCTCTCAGGAAATCGTCCAAAAGCTTCTTGAACGATTCCACACTATTAGCTGAAATCACTGCTTGTGGCAACGCATTCCAGACCCTAACCGCTCGAACTGAGAAGAACCCCCTTCGCCCCTTGTGTTTTCATTTTTTTTCTACCAGTTTTAGGTGGTGGCCTCTAGTCTTTGTTACGAAATTAATCTTAAAGAGTTTGTTGGTAATGTCGCTATGACTATAGAACATTTTGTATATGAAGATCATGTCCCCCCTTAATCTCCTTCCAGCGTGAACATATTTAAATGTAGTAGCCGTGTCTCATAGCTCTTGTCCTCCATCCCTTTGAGTTTGGTTGCCCTCCGCTGGACTCCCTCCAGCTCAAGGACATCCCTTCTGTGCACCGGTGCCCAAAACTGCACCGCAACTAAACTGCAGTCATCGGAGATGTAGCTTACACAGGACTATTGACTCCTCATGTGACATCATCAATTGACCCATTGCTCTCAACGCATGTTATTCTATAATCAGAAGTTCTAGGGATTTCTTTCATCTCTTGGCAGAAAACAAAGTGGAGCGAACTGGAGCAGTAAGAATATGCTTTGGAAGGGGATTAGAGCAAATCTGCTGCATTGCCTTTTTCATATATATTGTGGCAGCAGTCAAATTAAAATATCTTGGGTTAAGGGTTTTGTGCTAGGCCCCATACTGTTTAACCTGTTTATTAATGATATCGGGGAGGGCATCAATAGTCATGTTTCTGTGTTTGCTGATGATACTAAAATCGGGAGGGTAATAGACACGGACGTAGACATGAGAACATTACAGGAGGACCTGGATAAAATCGGGGATTGGGCAACTATATGGCAGATGAGGTTTAATGTTGATAAATGCAAAGTAATGCACTTTGGGGTTAAAAATAGGCAAGAGTAATACACATTAATAGGTACTCAACTAGGGAAGTCAGAAATGGAAAATACTTGTGGTTCATTGTAGACCACAGAATGAATAATAAATTGCAATGCCAGGCTGCAGCAAACAAATCAAGCAGAGGACTGTATTGTATTAAAAAGGGAATATACTGTAGAGAAAAGCAATAATTTTGCCACTTTATAGATTGCTTGTTCTGCCTCATCTGGAGTATGCGGTCCAGTTTTGGTCACCAATCCACAGAAAGGATGTCCTTGAGCTGGAGAGAGTTCAGAGAAGGGCAACTAAACTAGATAAGGGGCTGGAGGACCAAAACTGAGACAAGATTACTAAATGTAAACTTGTTCATGCTGGAAGTGAGAAGACTAAGAGGAGACATGAATCTGATGTACAAGATGTTTAGTGGTGATGGCAACATCAATAAACCTTTTACTGTAAACTCCACAACAAAGACCAGAGGCTACCATCTAAAATTGGTGGAGAAAAGATTTAATCACAAGGGGCGTAGGGGCTTTTTTTCTGTTAGAGCGGTTAGTTTGGAACTCGCTGCCACAAGCAGTGGTATCAGCAGAGAGTATTGAATAGTTCAAGCAGCATTTAGACACCATCCTCAGACCGTAACATACAGGGGTACAGGTTACTCTTAAAAACAGGATCACACGGTGGGTTTGTCTACACGCATGCACAGTCACACATACACACAAAGGTTGAACTTGATGGACCTGTGTCTTCAACCTCAAATGCTACGTGAGTATGTAACTAAGTGTAATACTGAAGTTCTTCCTCTAGGGGGAAGTGCTGAGGTCTGGAGGCTTGGAGGTAACAAGCCCAGCTGAAGCTAACGGGCTTGTTAGGGCCTCTACAAGAACTCCCAGCCTCCTAAAAAAGAAGCTCCACCCTGGAACCAGTCTGTGTGTCTGGCAGACTGGGTAGCGAAACCACTTGTGTGGTGAGAACCAGCCTGTGTGGCAAATAAGTTGGAAAAAGTACCTGTGTGACTGTGAGAGAAACAGTTGGGACTAGTCTGAGAAACAGAAAAATGTACAAGTTCTTGTTGCACTCCTTACCGGAAATCCCAAATGATAAGGGAGGGTGCTTGGAATGACTGCGGATGGCACCGCGGTAAGCATAAGATTCAGAGGCGTAACTAGAAACCTCAGGGCCCTGGTGCAAAAAACCCTGACGGCCCCTCCCCACTGGTGGAATTACCAGGGTCACAATGGTCGCATGTGTGACCGGGCCTTGGTGTCCCTATCTTGTTCATAACCAGGGGAAAGTGAGGTGAAATCTTCTGAACAGGGGCACACAGCAAAACAAACTTTACAGGGGGTAAACCCTTCCCTATGCTATCCAAAACAAAAAAAATTTAAAGCTTGACATGTTTGGTGTCTATTTACCCGACGTGACCCCGACTTTTATATTTTACCAAAAAACTGGTTAATAATAAATGTTTCCTAACATAATGTAAAAAAAACTTTTTTTTTTCAAAATTTTCTGTAATTTTTCCTAATTATAATAAAAAATAAAAACCCCAGTGGTGATTAAATACCACCGAAATAACGCCCTATCTGTCCCCAAAAAATGGTATAAAATTCATTTCAGTATAGCGTTGCATGACGGAATAAACGTCAGTCAAAGTATCGCAGCGCTGAACACTGAAAAATGGCCTGGCCAGGAAGGGGGTCTAAACACCTGGTCTTGAAGTGGTTAAACTTGTAAAGCCAACTGTCGGCTTTACAATAGAAGCGATTCTGGCAACTCAGCTGTCGACCAGATCGCTTCTATGGCCCAGTGAAGGGGCCGCCCCCCCGCGCCCGACACCCCCATCGTGCTTCCTGGACTCCGTTGCCCCTCCTACGGGCCCGGGACCGGCTTCTGTGGTGTCCATGGGAGCGATGCAGATTGCATCACTTCCGGTCCCAGAGCTGTCAGTGCCGGGCTCCTGAAGCCTGCGATCTGCACTTCAATCGCTTATTTGGAGTGTAAGCCCTCGTTCACACCTGAACGTTTTGTAGCGCGTTCTACGCTCGACAAACGCTCTACAAAACGCTCAAAAATATAAATCCCATTGTATTCAATGGTCTCGTTCCCACCTTGGCGTATTTCCGCCCGTCCCTAACGCGCTACAAAACGGCCCACGCCTGAAAAGGTACATGTACTACTTTGGGCCGTTTTGTTGCACGTTTCCATTGGGATACAGCCAAGTAGCCCTCGGAAACGCACGACGGTTGCGCAACTTTTTTTACCGCGAATCGCGCAACAGACGCGCATATGCAATACGCCCAGGTGTGAACGAGACCTAAAGGTGACACTGGGGGTCTTTTGGACCCCCAGCATCACCTTTAAGAGTACCTGTCACCACCATCTGCTATCACATGGGGGGGCTTCTAAGCCCCCCCATGTGATGGCAATCAAAGTAAAGTTAAAAAAAATAGTTTTTAAAATAGTTTTTTAAAAATAAAATAAATCTAAAAAGAATTAATTTTTTTTAAAGTCCACCAC